AGATAGATAGATAGATAGATAGATAGATAGATAGATAGATAGATAGACTCAAATCTTTATCTACTTTAAAATATTGCAGTCACTTCTTTGAGTACCTAATAAGATGCAGCATTACGGATTTGTTTGCTAACCTTAATCCAGCTGAAGTCAAAACTACTCAGTGTCATTTAGACCACATGGAAGATAATAAGTGGAAAATGGAAGTAATAACAGCATTGGTCCCTCCAGTCTACCTGTTAATATGCTGTGCTGAGGCAAGATAATAACCAAACCATCAAGTTCAAGCCTTTCCCATCAAGTAGGCTGTAGATTTAAAAAGTCAATCAAGACTACTAACAAATTTTAAGTGACAGCAGATAAAATATTTATGGATTTCATAGCCATATCAGCAGATGATTGCTGCAGCTTTATCGACTTGAGTTAAAGACTATCTCAATATCCTGTTTAGAATTGTTGCTGTGTAATGTATCATACAGGTTTTGTAAAATTTGTAATAGATAATGCTTATCTTCTGAAGCCCCTTTGACAGATTGTTCTGCTTTTTTCATTTCACTTGACTTTTACTCTATTTCTTCTCTGTTTCCACTAGATTTCTGGTCACTTTTTTGGGGGAATTGACTTGACTATCAAGGTGATCAACTGCTCTGTGAGCTCCAAGGGTTCGTGCCATGAAGGGAAAAAGCTTCCCTTCATTTCAGAGACACGCTCATTAAATTCCTGTCCCAACTGCACTCGTCTCAGCTTCTCCTTAGATGAGCTCCAAGAACTGACATCAACCTCATGGGACCTGGAATGTTATGTCAGATTTTGTTACGATAGAGAGGTATGCATTTCCCAAGCTTTTCTAAAGAAAGAGGACATTTTCAGTTTGTTTTATTTCGTATTTCGAAAATCTGTTGAAAACAATAACTATTAAAAGTTTAGAACCAACTGAATCCACACATAGTGGCTTTCCTCCTTTATAATACTTTTAAACAGTCTGTAGATGCATGTTCATGTCTTGTTTTCTCTCACAATGTACAAGACTACTGATTTTTCTACTTTTAATGTTCCTGCCGTCTGCAATGGATTTTGCTTTGTAGCCTTCGGATAATTTTGTTTCACTCCATTGAAAGCATGTTTTGGGTTCACAGCAGCCTCTTTTAAATGCAAATGCAAAACATAGAATGAACTCCAGAGCCTTCATCCTGTTAAATGATTTACAGATTTTGTGGGGTGTGCCATAGCTGCCCATTATACAGCTTCTGAGTAACTGTGAAATGAAATTTCAGGTTTCTTCATCTAAAAGGAACTTCAAAGCCTTTGTGTGTTAACTTCTATGACTAGAATAAGTACTATTTTGTCATTTTTCATAAGGGAGACAAGTCTAATATTATAACCCATTGCTTTTATTGATAAAATGCTCTTTTGATCATTACTTTAGCAATGTGTACATGGAGGGAGGGTAAAGAAGAATCTGGAGCTACCATGTCTGCAACCACCAGGTAAGTTGTGTTCAAATCCAATATGTGCATCAGTTCACTCGCAAAGATAAACTGAGTTTAGAACAATTTAGAATATTTTCTCATAAACCATTTGTGTGAAAATGAATGATTTATAATTAAACGTCTAATAATAAACTCTCTGAACTTTCAGTAACATTACTAAAACTTTTAAATTACCTTTTATGCCTCCAGGACTTAATTGCTAGTCTAGTGTTTCGACAAAGAGTTGTTGCTTGCTGCTATAATTTTCATTCCTATTATTGCTTACAGCACACACCGAATGCTGCCCATGCGGTTGTCATAGCAGTAAACTCAGGATATGCAGTGAAGCCCATAAGCGGTTGCAGGGCAGGGCCTCGTCCTTTAGGAAGGTCTGTGTGCTGACCTTGTGGCCACGATCAGACATAATGGCCCTCAGGGGAAAGAGTGGGGGGGGGTGAAGTCCTTTGTGTTTCCAAGAGCCCTGACTATACTGCTATCCAAACACAGGCAGCGGTGAGCTTTGTGCTATTGTGAGACTAATCAAGATATTTGAGTCAAATAAGGAAAGATGTCTTTGCTAAAAGATACACGCGATAATTAGCGTTGGAAATTTATGATGATTCCGAGTAAAGAGACACAAGGAAGCAGTTGATGTCTAGGGATGATACATGGTGTTTCTTTTCAAAACTGACAATGGATGTGTTTATAGTCAGAGCTTCCTGAGCTTCCTTTATGTTCATTTTCTTTGTAGAAAAGAAAGACAAAGGTTGGAATGTGAGTGTTGCCGTAGGCTGACACAAACACCAATCGATGTTCTCCAGACGGATTTGCTGTAACACACCAATTGGCAGTTCTGTTTACAGGATTCAGTTGACTTGCCAGTAACATAGCCGAAAAGGTTACCATATATGAGGAGGACCAGCAAACTTCATTCCATTATGATACCTTTATTGGGCAGGACCGAGTGCCCCATTCAATATTATTTCCTGTTTGGTAGTTTTCATAGTGAGGGTAGGGAGTCACGTCGCATGCCTGGTGTCTCTCTCGTCCTCCACCTGCACTGGGGCTTCTGTTTCCTGCTCCTGTTTACTCAGCTTTGCTGTCAAAGCCTCTCTTAGACAAACTAACACAGTAACGGATTGCAGAGAACAAGTCTCTGGAGAAAGCCTGCTCAAGCTGCTGTGATGTTTCTGTTCTTTTAGGGTTGAGGAATGTGTCTTGTTGTTGAAGCGGCAAACTAGTTTTTGCTGCCTGGATTGCAGGCAGCACAAATGCCCACAGGATGTCACTGTTTCAGTGCTCTGGTTGATTTATTTCAGGTGATAATTCTTTATTGTTGAATAAAACAAGATGGTTGTATGTGATGTAGCCTTAATCGATTTAATTCCAAATGTTAAATGAAGTCTATTGGATTGCTTTTTTGGACTTTGTATGGAAAAGCCTTTGAATGTTCAATGGCATTAAAACCTCCTATAGCAGTTGGAATGTACATATAAGTCAATTATAATATAATGACAATTTGATTATTAAGACATTATATGTCTACTAGTCATTGCTTTGTGCCCTTTGTATAATTTCTTTAGTGGTATTTTAGTGCTGTATTTTATGAATCTTAGTACTTTATGTCATTGGGAGACAGGAGAGGTGGGAAACTCATATACAGGTTGTGAGGAATTTCTTTTTACAAATGTTCTGGATGCTTGTGGACAGATCTTTTCATGTAGAAAAGGGATGAGAGTATAGAAACATTCCCAATTTGCTCTATCTGGCTCTGTTATGATGAGAATTTCAGTCAGTTACATGGTATTGAATAAAGCTGCGTATTTATGTTTCTTAGCTCAGCAGGACCACACTGCATTGATCTTTTTGGAGAGACTTAATTGAGTAAACAGACTGAACAGGCGATTGAATTCAGCTACAACTCACACCAAACTCAAAAGCTTTTGATGAGATTTTTTTTAATGCTTCAAAAATACCAGGGATATTTTTAATTGGCCTGGCATAGGACAGTTGTTCTTTTGTCAAATTAAGTGTAACAGAAGTTAAGAATGATACTTGGGTATGGGGAAATATTATCAAAGATTTATTCTACAGCCTTGTCAAACAAATCCATTCACTGCTTTGCCAGATCGTACTGAATGGAATAAAACTTTGGAAATGGCCTTGGTCGGCCCACAATATGCTTGCTCCACAATGTGGAATGTCAGAGGTTTCAGCAAGATCGAGTCTTTGTTATCTGTCGTTCAGAAGTTCTTTTGAAGACGGTTTTCTAACCATTGGTACAAACTTTTATGTAACGTTGACTAATATTATTTATTTCTAAAGTTTTCAACTGAGCCTTAATATGTGGAGTGTGTATGTCTTACCTGTGTTGATATGGTTTATGTGTGGGTACTCTAGCTTTATCTGTGAGACCCAAAAACGTGTGTTTTAGGTAGGTTGGTGATACAAAATTGCGAGCAGTTGTTTGCCTCTGTTGGCCCTGTGATATACTGGCGATCTACTCAGTTTCAAGTTCAGGGCAACCCACCTTTTGCCCAATGGCTGCTGGCATAGACTCCAGACTCCCCAGGATTCTGAATAAGATAAAGTGTGTTTGGAAAATAGATGGACTTGTATATCGTCTCCGAGCATAACATTCCCAAAACAGAGTGGTAGAGATTTTCCAGGCAGGCTTATTTCCAACATTTCAACAAGACACTGTCAAAGGACTGAAAAGGTGTCCTATGAAACAGTCAAATTCACATTATTACCCCGATGAACACATATACCCCATACCAGTGGCTGAAACACAACCCAAAGCATAATATATCCACCCCTGATAAAAAGAAACGAGACAAATACAATACAGATAATTGTATCAAGCTTGTTTAGATATTCAAAACGAATGAAAATAGCTGCAGAGTTAGGTTTTTCTGCACTTTCGAGCACTGCTGGGTTGATTGGGATGAAATTTTATTGAGACCTTAAATTGAAACAATCATTATTTACTGCACAAACTGATTTTATGTGCAAACATTTAAAAACTATGGTCTTTTGTTGTTTAGAGCAATCTAATTGATGGACAAATGGGGTTGGATGAAAAACAGCTACAGTCTGGCATCTTAAGTGAAGAAGACTTATCTGGAAGCCAAAAAACTCTCCTGTGCAGAATTATATTCGGATGTATTACTAATAACATAGGAAACAATAAAATGTATTTGTCTTTGGGAAGACCAAATTCTTCTGTGTGACTTGGGTAAGATGTAATGGAAATGTCCTTTCTGTTTTTGTTAACTTCTACACTATTCTGTTTCTTGAAATAAAATCTGAATCAATTAATGATCATATAAACGTGATAGATCTGTGCTATATTTCAAACCAGAAATCATTACCAGGCTTTTATTTGTGTACTAATGTAATGAATGCATTGTGAATCTGTGATTCCTCTGAATATGGAACTCAGAAAAAATCAAAAGAGAAGTCTCTCTTCTCTGACCATGCAAATAGGGTTTTATTTTTATATTCTTGGACAGCACTTCGATCATTCTCCTGCTTACTCTGATATTCAAAGTACATCATATGTTAATTTTTTAGCCGCTTTCAGATTTATTTGAATGTGTTGGGTTCAATATTGGTTGTTATTTGTTTCACAGAAATGAATTACACTCTTCTTTTGATTTTACATTTTTAGCTTCACCATGCTTTGACTTTCATCTATCTGGTGTTCTGGGAATTGCTTTTGGAGGGTTCCTTATTGGAGTATTACTTATCGGAGCATTGTGGCTTATCAAAGTTAAGACAGGTAAATGTTATGTTATTGTGAATCATTTTTGCTTGAATATAGATCTAACTTGCTTTTTGTCGGGATTGGTAAAAATGTCTTTCTGTTTTATGCAGGGTACCCAACTAGCTTGGATGTGAGTTCACCTGCATCTGGACTTCCTGGTAGGAAGTGTAACTTTTCCCTATTTATTTGATTTTCTATTCTTCTCCTTAGGTTCTTATTGCTTTGTATCTCTGCATTTTTTTTTCTTCAGGATGTCCTTGCTCAAGAGCAAAGCGGCAGCCAGTCTCAACCAACCCATCTCCTTCTGAGAATAGCAGTGCCAACGCTAGCATTGGAAGCACCCAAAGCACACCCACCAGCAGCATGGCATGAGTTCGTAGTACTTTCTACCAGTTGATTCAACATCTCCCTTCAAAGTCATCTATTTTAGATTTGTGCTTTTTTCTACCATAGTTGTTAAAAAAAAGCATTCTCAGACCACCTTCCGCATTTAAATTCTTGCTAAGAAGCACAAATAATCTTTTTGACATACCACATCTGAAATAGATGTGAACTGGGAGCTGGTAGTTGTAGGGGGACGTAGGCAGATAATGGACAGCGAAAGTCTAATTTTTTAGCTTCTTTTGCTCACCTTTACAGCCTCCGCAAAGTCAAACTCCTAGTCAGGAAGTCAAGGCCAAGAGAAAAAAAATTGGCTCCCAGCAACAGGAAAAACAAACCATATCCCGCAAGAGCTAACAGGAAATTCACAACATTCCTTTCAGTGAATTGTGCGCGTGTGATGGCGGCACAATAACAGTTAAACAGGAGACAAACCAGTCAAAAGCCAGGCTTTGAAAAAAGGGCCGTTGGTTAGGTCAGTTATGAGTATTCATCAACAACATCATGGAGACTAAACAGGTGTGCGTCTTTGAATCTTTGACCAGACAAAGAGGCTGTCACTTCCAGGGGTATTTGTATTAATTGATGTTCACGGTTAATGGTTACAGCTACCTCTTATAATTAGAGGTCTGGGGCTAAGTTGGAACTTAAAACCAGATTTCTATGGTGAATTGAGTATTTGTTCCTTTTTAATTGTCTTTAGTTATTGCCACTTAAATGACCCTGTGGGTCTCTGGTAGCTCGAAAAAAATTAAGTTATGGTGCCAGTTTTCTGCTCTTCAGTGGGTGTATCAGTGCTGTCATATTAACATTTGTTGACCAGTGTTTTTTTTTTTTTGAGGTTATGAGTTATATGATGCATTCATTAAAACACCACAAAATCAATCTTAGAATATTAAGGAATGAATTAGAAATAAAAATGAGCTTTGTATGGAGCCACTATGTATACAGATGTATTTGCTGTACGAGTGTTGTGCCAATAGGGATTATGATTTTTCAGATGTCACATTCATAGAAATTAGAGCCAGTCACACAGCTTTGTTCACTGGGTGGAGTTTCTCCCAAAATAACAAGCTCCAAGGTTAAATTGCAGTACTTTTCCTCCTCAAAATATCTATTCTCACCAGAGTGTCTACAGTCCTCACTTTATTTTACCAATTTGTTCTAAACAACTCTCAACTGCAGAAACTTGGAGCAAAGCCACAACATATTACATTTTCATGTTTTCGGGGAGGATTAGTCATCATCCACTAGATCATGGAGACTACAGCTTATATGGTATACAGTAGTTTAGGTCCTATGCAACTTCAAATATCAAGATTTGACATTGAGTCATATTTCCTCATATCCACTGTCTTTTCATCCAGTATGGGTGCAAGTCCAAATGCTCTACTTGACCCTGTAATGAGAGATGAGTGGGTGTGAATTTCTTGTATTAAACCGAAACACATCAAATTTATTCTAAAAAGCAGGCTAGAGTTCACTTCTGTTCTCTTTCTCTATTTTGCACCTTTTCCCCACTTTTCTTAATAAATTCCCTTCTCCGACACTGTCAGAATCTCTTCATTGTTAAATCTGATGCCACCACAGTAGTCCAGCATTCTTCATGGCAGACCTGTCCTTCTAAAATTACCCTCTTAACTGTCATACCTCCTTTATACTGACTTTCGCACTCTCCGTCCCCTCTCCGTCCCCTCTCCGTCCCCTCTCCGTCCACTCTCTGTCCACTCTCCGTCACTACTCCTACGATGTAACGAGCTTGGTTAGAAGTGGGCCAGCTACTTACAACAAGCATTTACTTTTATGGTCCTGCACTATGCTTTTTCCTCCATCAAATCATGCTCAACCATGATGCTCCATTCAACTCCATTCACCAAAAATGCATTTTGATTCTTTCTACATCAATACACTCATTGCTGTCCTTTTAATTGATTTTTCTTTATTGAACTCTCTTTAGCAAGCTCTCTTATTAACCAAACTACAATTAATATTCTTAGAACACAATTTATTGGCATTGACAAAAGTTATTAGTAATTTAATTGTACTTTAGTTGACTCAAAATCTCATTATTCATTGTGAGCATATGAACTAAAAGATAAGTATGTTATTTTATAGCATACATTCATACATTCAAATAGGCTGCATCGTGATATGCATAGCTTCGTTCTGGCGACTTTCAGGAGGGCTGCAGTTGATGATTGGACCAACTTTTTAATTTCAATGTACAAATGTAAATGTTTTGTTTTTTATGCATGGAGATTCATTTTTTGTTGCCACATTTTGTGGTAACTCCCTTAAGAATATTCTCATCAGACATCATGCATTGTACTATAGAATAAAAACAAAACAAAACACATGGCATCAACACAAGGGCTATAAACTGTGATGTTGAAACTTGTTCTTTAATATGTGATACACTAATTTACTTACTGATATATAGATCTATATGATTATATTCACAGTTCAAATAGTTATTCACCTTTGGATTCGGAAAATAACCTAATTTATTTACTTTGAATATAATCCAAATCAGCTGCATTTGTGAAATGGCTCTTCATTGTATATGAGATGTGTAGCAAATTCCCCTTCCTTCCATATGACTGTGCATGTACCTTTTTTTTTCTTTTCAGAGCATTCCTGATTTTCTTTGTGCATTTTTGTCAAGACAAAAACAAAGATGGCCAGTACAAATTGCCACTTGAGTATCTGTGCAATATGATGACTTTAACTTGTATGCAATGCCTGCCATTTTTTGTTTTATGACACACTTATTTGGAATTATTTGATAACCTAACTTGTTCATAATGTACCTGAAGCTTTGGGACTGGGAGTTCCTAATCGATGAACATCATTATTTTTCTATCATAGACTATAGTTTAGATTCTGCTGTCATGACAGTACTTATTAAAGACAGCAAATTTCATATATTGGTTTAATTTTATTGTCTTTCGCCCTAAGATTCCATATTAGTCCAAAAACAACTTATATAAAGGAAGTGATATTGTGTTGTGTTTTTTATATTATCATCATTGGTGTGATGTGGAAGCCTTATTTGAATTATTAGTACAGTATGTGTCATCATGGAATTGCATTCCTAACTATTTATCACTCAAATAAAAATATACAACCACCATTTGTCTTGGATTAATGATAGGATTTTTTTTATATCTAAGATTTGGATTGTGTAGACATGTTCTCATATTTTGCCAAAAAGTCTGTGTTCAGCCTGTGTTAAATCAGCCCCAGTACCTGTCTGAACACTGAAGTCAGACAGGCTGTCAATTAATTCCCTTGTTAAGCCTACAGTATAGGAGGCTGTGTTATTTTTGTGCTCGAGTGGGCAGCTTTTTACCTTTTAAAATGCACCTGCATGTTTAGACAGCACTCAACTGTGGCCATATTCTTTGCTTTCTCTGACAAATTAGTGTCCCTTTTCTAAGAACATTAAATAAAATAAATTTGACAGACATTCTTTTGTGTCTTTCATGTGTTCCTCGTTCCCTCGTAGAATATGCCTAGAGCATTATGCAGTGTGGTGTTTGAAATCGCAAACTCCCTGGAGTTTACCATGGATTTCGCTGGAAAGGCAATATCAGAGACTGATAGTGCAGCACACTGTGCAGAGCGGTGACATGGAATAAAGAGCCAGACAAACACTATTCCACTCTCTGACACATATTCATAACATCAGTGAAACCATAGGTAGAGTGAAGGATATGATACATTTGAGTTTCATTTCCATGAGAACTTGACAGAAATATTGTTCAATAAGACAGCCAAAAAAAAGGTGTATTAATTTCACATGTTTTGCATAATAATGTGAATTTTGTCTTGCATGTGTCTGATTGAAAGTTTTGTGGTTCAGTTGTCAATCATTTTATATTATAATGAGCAAATATAAAGTCTCTGAGTCCAAAGACATTGCATATCTGTTTAATTTACAATTGTTATGAAAGGAAAGCAGGTACTGAAGATATAAAATGGTTGAAGGCAGAAAGATAGATGGTAATCTGTTTCTGTTTCATGAGTTTGACTCATGATTGACCTGGAAAACATTGTGTCTGATTATTTAAAAACATAATTCTCTAATGATGTTATGATGAGCCATGTATAACCCTTATTGTCTGGTGAAAGAATGGTATTTTTCTTTATATGGGGCATTCCCTCATGTTTCACCTATTCTTTTTACAAATTTATTCAGTGTTTTCAGGATTGAAGCCAAAGCGCACAATACTTGTTTTTGGAGTACCCTCATCTCTATCTATAAGCCTTGTGCAGTGCACATTTTATGTGTCTGTGTGCATGTGCTGGTTTGTTTGCATTTTACAAAAAAAAAATCTGTTCTTGTCTGCAAAGCTATGCTTTGTGAGAAGTGTTGTCTAGGCTATGCATGAAGCATAACACAATTGCCTAAGGGAACAAGTCATAGCTCTTTTCTGTAAAATCAAGGTGTGTGCATGTGCGTAAGTAAGAAATATGATCTTTCTATCTTGACAGAATCAGGAAGTATTTGTATTCATATGTAAATAAAGAAACATACACCAGAGTTAGGATGGATTAGAAGCTCAAAAAAAGTATTTATTATAAAAATATGAAAAAAAACTGAATGCACCCAAAGAGTTAGTTTCCAATTTAAACATGGTCCCATCTTACAACACTCAAGTGACGAAGTGTTTGCCAAAAAGCTATACATTATTTTGAAAGATGTAAATCACAAAATGTCCACAATCCATGGTGGCAAAACAATATTGCATTAAAAAAATGATACACCATAATAATCCACAATTTTTTGTTTGCTTTGAGTTTTAGTAGTTATACATGAAAAAGATGATGTAGCACATTCCTGTATTCTTATATTAATCATATGAATATCCAACATTCGCAAAGACAGTTAAAATTTCAGGTGTTTTAGCTTGGTGGTTGTGTTAAACAAGCTTTTGTGCAGCACTTATAAGAATCACTTGGAAAATGCACTAAAAAGAGAACAGTTAAACAGTAAGATTAATCGTGTGCAAATTATACTAATAGGCAAATATAATGACCATGTGTACAGCAGTGTGACCAAATGAACTGTTTCACTTGTCAACAAATGTTTAGCTGTGGAGAGGTGATGACTATGAATGAATGAAAAAGACAAAGTGTTTGAGTATAACCCCTCTTTGTGGTGTTACATTTTCTTATTGCATTGGTTGATTAGTAGCTGCAGGGAACTTTTCCATTCCCATTAAATGGATTGATGAATGGATTTCCACTAGCTACCACCAGATGGCGCAATTATTTGTTCTGTCCCACTCTGCAGAGATTGTATTGCTTATTAAAAGAATGTATTCAATAAACTTGCTTAGAAATTCTTCAATCAGTAAAGGAGTAATAATGTAACATTATGGAGGAGCTGAATAATGTGAATGTACAATCATGCCATTCGTTTGTTAATATATGTTTGAATTTAAAATGATCATACACCTATGTTCAATTTAGGTTTTAGGAGAATAAATCTGTGACTCAATCTGACATGAAGCCGATAAAGCCTCAGGAGTATATTGAGCTCAGGCAGTTTCATCAATGCATAACTGAGGGTACCCGGTAAGGCAGTCTCTGCTCCAGACTTTCACACCCTGAGGTGCTGTGGTGCAAAAGATTGTTTACACACTTCAAGGCTGTGCACAGGTTCTACTTCTGTACTCATCTCTCACCTACTCTCAGACATTCACTTTTTCGCAAGCATTCACATACTTGCCCACACCTACCTGACTATCCACAGCCTGGTCCTGGATAATCCTCTAACTTATAAGCAGTGCTGTGTGCCCAAAGCAAATCCCTTTCCTTTAAGATGCAGACACCTCTGAAGCTGATGTTTGGCTAAAATACCTCAGAGGCAGTACAGCACAGCATTTTCTTCTTTTATGTTTTCTTTTTTGCTCCACACTCTCCCCTTCTATGTGCAAATAACCACTGGTCACGTTGTCTAAAATGCATAAATGAATTAATGATTGAATAAGATAACAAATGAATGAATAAATAAATTCCCCGCAGGTATTATAATCCCTCCAGTTACACCACAATATTTTTGCACCATAACCCAAAGTACAATTTGTAAATTTAGATTTCTGTGCCCTCATCATTTAGCAAATGTCAGGTTGGAAGACTAATGTTTTGACTCCTATTAAAAAGAGCTGCAAATAGTGCCACAATTGCAAGGTTTCCTAGGATGTGCTAACTCAATACTTTTTCAAATCAGATACCTAGAACTAATGCCTGGAGCTATGTGTTTTCAAACTGCTATGGGGGTAAGTCTGGCAGAAATCCTCATGAGACACAGCGCAGACTTCACTGTTAAGTGTATTGATTGGTTCAATATTGTGGCTGGACTGGAAATCGTTTGGTCTCACAGCTTGCTGAGATTTTTCCAAGGGGTATAAGAAATTGCCATTATCATTCACATTCAGCAACAGCTAACCAGTCACCTAATCTGTTGTCAATTCCAGGTTAAACGTATAGCCTGTTACACATTGTTTATTTAATTTCTAAAATAAACTGATGGTGCACTTTGACACAAGCAGTTATTCCAGACTCCTTACTTTTTAATGAATTTCTTTCTCTATGAGGCTTCTTTCATGTAACAATTGACTGTCGGAGTTAGACAGAGGACACTAAACATTTTATTTTCTTGCCAGGTGATCCAGCTGGAGTCTAACTTGCCTGAATTAAGCTCTCAGTGGTTTTGTTTCTCTTTTGGTTTGGCTGTTTGCTGACTGCCACAACAGATTATAGTTTTCTTGTCCTGTTGTTAGCTCCTTTTAACTTCTGATACTGATCCATTTGAAAGCACATTTAATGATTGCCACGTAGACAGAAAGTGGCTATAGCTTGCTGAGTCTTGTGAAGTTTACTGCCAAGGGCTTTCTGTTCGTTATTTGGACATTCATGTAACTAGACATTAAAACCCAGTAGAATTACTACAACTTGTCCTTGCACATTGACTGTTTGAGTATTAATAAGAGTCATTGATATAAAACAGCCAAAATCAGGTAACCTCACTGGTTGTTAGCTATGACAACATCTGTACAATATCTTAACACATCTGGTATCACACTGTATGTGTTGAATACATGGGTCTAAAGGTGGTTTCCAAATGAGGACCAAAGAGATGAAATAAAGCATAATTCCAAGCAATTCTTGAACTAAAAAAGTCAAATATAGAGTTGGAGAACAGAAAGTTGGAGAACAGAAAAAACAAACAGAGAACTGTGAATGTTTCAATACAGGACTGCGGAAAACAAAGGAGTATTGCATTAGAGCATCGAGGTCCCAATCCAAAACTACATTGAAGTGAATGCTTAACTTCTCAATGTTGTAAATCATTCTTTTTTTGTATGAATTAGTGTTTGAATTCGTTTTGCACAGAGATTGGTTCTTAAATATTTTCTGATAAAATACTTTAAACGGAAAAACAAATATTATCAACCGAAGGAAATTCTAGAAATACTCCTCTTTATAATGTGAAAAGGTATCACCCTCATCTCGTTTGCACTTTTCTTTTCATTGCTTCAATAATCATTTTGAAGCTGCACAATCCCAATTCCAACTCAGGTATTCAAGACAATGGTAGTTTAAATCATGAAAAAATATCCCTTTTGTCTTTTGTCAGTTATAAACAAGAAGTCTCCATTTTTTGCTCACACTAAGCAATCCTACTGTAAGTCCTTGTGTTCATAGGCACTCTATAGGTCAGTGAGTTCCCACTAAATCTGAAAAATATTGCTCTTGGTGTTATCATTCATTTTCAATTAAGTGGTTAATTTGTTGATAATTCAAATAACTTTAGACAAATAGTAAAATAACAGGATGACTATTTTTTAAATCAAAACCTGTCAGAATCCAGATGGTATTTATGTAATCAGGTGCAGCTAAGACTACCCCCATTTGTGACATTTCTTCCCTTTCATCTTCACTTGGAGTGCCTTTTCTCTGGAGCTCAGTCTTCCAATATTCAGTCCATTTCAGTTGTCATCCTCTCAATCTTCCAGCCTAAATCTTTGAGACTTTGAATTGCAGTCAGCATAGTGGTTGTGAGGTTGTTGAGTCTCCTCTTTCTTTCTCCAAGCTTTTGAGAGGCAAAACATCATCACAGGCCCTCATTTCTCACTTCCAGCTTGTCAATTTAATTTGTAGTACCTTAACCACATCCTTTCACAACCTGCTCACAACCTACTTCTTGTCCCAATCTTAACCTTTAGCGTCCAGCATCACATAATCATTGTTTGTCGTATAGTCTCTGTCTTATCTGTTATATTGTTGATTAAGTGCAAGTTTATATCAGTTGTTTTAAAATATATTTTTTTATATTTTGAAAGTTCTGGCAGTTTTATCTAATGAGATTAATTTTCTGTTCAATTTAATTAAGATATTTGTTTAGTCTCAAACAAAAAAGGATATTGTAAAAGCAGTATCAGTTACTGAAGAAAGCT